TGTATAATTATGATACATTTATACAGCCATTACTTGGATCTATTACAAACAGGATCTCTTAGTCACTTAGTCATATTTAAATAGTAATACAAATATTATTTTCTATAATAAATACATTTAAGGTATTTTATTTATATATATATATATATATATATATATATATATATATATATATATGTATGTATATATAAAATAAATAATATACAAAAGAAGTACTACTTTCTAAGAGTGACCAAGTGGACAAACAGCAGATCAGAGCAGTGCAGGTGCATGTGGGGTGCGGACAGAACTCGAATGAGCCCTTTCCAATCCCAATCCCTCCTTCATTTGCAGCCCCTCCGGCGCGGCTCTGTCACCGCCCGGCAATGGGAGTGCGCGACCCCCCCCCGCCCCCTCCTTCCCCCCTCAGGGCTCCGCGGGGCGGGCTCCACAGGCCGAGGCCGGGCCTGCCGGCACACGGAGGAGGTTTTGCCGTGKCGGCGGTGTCCGCACTCACCTGCGGGGCGGCGGAGGGGCGGCCGCGGCCCCCAAGCCCGCCGAGCCCGCTCAGCCCCGACGCGGCCCCGTCGCCGCCGCCGCCTCTGCGGCCCCGCAGCCTCGGCCGCGCCCCGCCGGGAGCGGCTCCGCCGGTGCTGCAGCGCCCCCTGGCGGCGGGGAGGACCGACAGCCTCCCGCTCCGGCCGGTGATGGAGATTGTTGATCTCCTGTTGAGCTCCTGTTGTTCCTGAATTTTTCCATTTTTTTTCTGTGGAGAAGCGGGAACCTACAAGCCAGATATATGTCTCCTTGAAAATTACCACATACTTATTGCCTGTGTTAGGAAAATTAATCCACAAGCACCAGAGGTTTATGTCCAAAAAKGAGACAGAGGAGTCCSGCAACTTTATTCATGAATAAAGGGAGAGGTCATGGGCATTTCCCATGGGGTCTCTCCAACTCATAGAGGAYGCAGCCTCCTTTTATCCCAATTTCCTGGCCATTCCCTCTCTCYTTCYCCATTGGCTGAGGTACTTGAGARGTACAGGCTCCCCAAAACGCCTGATGAAACCCCCCCTTCTATCATACATTTCCCYCTTTCAATATACATCTCTGTGTYTCTGCTCAGGTACTCTATTAAAATAGACKGGGGTAARCSAATCAGYAGAATTCCTATGCAAATCCTTCCTAYTGTTTCTATCTCCCAATATCAGCCTTATCTCACCCCAGATTCAGAGTCTGTTTGTARAGACACTMYCTTCTCATTCCYTTCACCTGCTTMTCTGTGCCACTGCCTTGCCACCACCCTCACAGCAAAGAATTTCTTCCTAAAATCTGCTCTAAACTCACCCTTCTTCAATTTAAAGCTCCCAAGTCAAGTCCATTTTCCAGGTTATACTCTCCTTTAGTTTGTTATACTTACACATGAGCAATGCCAAAGTCTCCAGCAAAATTCCACCTCTTCACTACATTGTAATAATGTGAATTGAGATATATACATAAATAAAGTTAAAAGGTTTTCAGACTAGAAAAACTGGCAGYTGTATTATTAGGAAATGGAATTATCTTAACAACAGTTATATTGATCTCACTTTCAGGGAGAGGAATGGATTGAAAATCCTTTTTCTTAACAGAAAAAAAAGACCATCTCCAGCTCACTACGAGGAAAAACATGCAAGTACAAATGGAAGCTGTGCCTCGGATGTGACAGCAGCAGCCTTTTTATCTCCTGCAATCTTTTAGACAGCCATTTTATCCGTGTACAAAATGCAGCTTTTTAGAGATAACTAACACTGGATTCTGGTCTACTGCCCCACCATTCCCCATCACTTCATCACAGAGAACAGAGAATAAACCTCCATTTACAAGAGCCTACAGCATTACCACGACTGAGAGCAGGAAGGAASAAACCCATCAGGCTTTAAAAGCAACTAGATTCGAAGATGTGGCTGTCATTTTAATCACTTAAATCTTTTCCTGGTGCAGCACTCTTATCGTGGTTGGTTTCAGATGCCAGCTGAAAGTGTTCTCACCTGAGCTCTGACCACTTAGTGCCATGACAGCTGCTGATGATGGATGCCTGAAGTGCTCTGGGAGACTTCAACATCTCTGGAAAGAGGATTCTGAGCATGRAAAGAGCTTCAGCACTGAATGTGGCACAGAGCACTCCTTGGAGAATCCTCTGGAGAACAAGGCTTCCGTGGTTTGCACCAGTCTCCAAAACTAATTCCAAATCTGACCACAACATCCAACCAGTCAAACTGTAAGCTTGGTGATTTTAGCCCCATTGTGCAATGTCCCCATAGCTTTTCCCCATAGCAGCATCTCTGAATGCCTGAGAGAGGGGAGAATGGGAGTGCACATCTCCTGTCTCATCCCATTCCACCAAAACAGTGTAAGGGGCTGGTTTAAATGGTGCCAGGCATCACACCGACCCTGTGCAGTGAGGAATGGTGAAGCTGTCACTCCTGAACAGCACTAGCATGCCAGGAATAACTCAGCTGGGCTCACAAGGTGCCAGTGGATGGATTTGGAAGCATCTAAACCAGTGCAAGATTCCTTATCCCTTAAATAGAGCCAGCACTGGATCACATGCAGAGATGTCATTATTCAGGAGGGAAACTTTGCTCCAAACACTGGTGGTTTTTTATTCATTCTGCTTAGGAGAAAGAAACCAAAAGCATTTTTTAATTCACCCTTTTCCTAGGCTCCAGAACAGTTTTTTTTTAATGCTGTAAGTTGTCATACACATAAAAAATGATACCATCTGCATGTGTTCATTTTATCCCAATGTATAAATTATTCTTCGAAGGACAGGAGTGGAGATGACACCGTACTCCTTTGGGAGATCTCACAGCCAATCAGTTGCTCTCTTGTCCCTCTCTAAAWTGCAGAATGGTGTCAGCATGTCCTGTTAATGCAATATTCACAGTGTTGAGTCAGAAAGTGCAGTGTACTCTTTTCTGCCTCAMCAAATGTGGGGATCTCACAGATAGGCTCTCTTGGATGTTTAGGTATAGCCAAGCTCCCCTGCTGTGATGCCAGCCTAGGACTGACTGWATTTACCAGTCAGACCCAAGCCCTTGGAGATACACAGAGGCTCAGACACATTAAACTCTCTTCCAGCTGGAGGGACGCTGCCATTGTTAAATGCATTTAATATTAATATAACAGCAGTATCCAGATGCCCCAGTTAGTGCAACAGTGAGTTTCCTAATGTGCTCCTCTCTACTGGTGCTGTTCTGATATCTTAGTTGCTAAGACAAAATAAATAAAGCTGCTCGCTGGTCAGCCTCCTCATCCCYCTCGCACCAAAAAGCAGTGGGAGGAAATTGCTTGCTCTGCCTGTCTGCTTTTCCTGGTGCATCTGMTTCTTTTCACAATTTCCTGGATCCTGATATAACAGGGAGACATCCCACCTCATCTTTAATGAGGGATGTAAAAACTAGAGAAGGATTTCACACAGGATAAAGCCAGATTCCATATCGGCCCCACATTCCTACCAAGACCAGGAGCCTTCCAAGCTCTCTGCATGCCCAAGTTCCAGTCAAAGGACATGTGGTCACCACCACAAGGACTTGAAGAAGGAATTAATGGCAAAAACAGATCACAAGAAGGAATTTCTGTGTTGCTGCAGCTTCCATTTGTTACTTTGTCCTTTTTGTTCCTATTTAAGTTGTGTGTCTCCCCACGGCCTCCCCCCCAAAAAAAAACCCAACTGGCTTGAGAGCAACTTAGATGCAGATATAGGGAAGAATATTCTTGGATGATTAGATGGCCAAATTGGCATAAAAAAACGTGCTCAAAGGATGAGGTCTGAGTCACGCCACTAATTGAGCAAACCACTCAGGTAATCACAAAATAAAACCAAAACAACCCCAACAAGAGTGACAAGTTACCTAGCACCCACTGCAGAGGGACCCGTAACAGGAACCTTTGCACAGTGACACAGCAGCTCACACTGGGTTTACCCTGCATTATCCTGGATCTTACAGGGCACAACTAAACCACACAAAATACCTGGCTGATATTCCCACTGAGAGCAGCCTGAAGTTAGGATTCCCTGGGTTTCAGGTGCCACTTTGTGACACCCAGCCCAAAGAYTGGGAATCACTCCTGGCACCAGTACATACTGGAGGCTGACCAGGAGGAAAATAGCATTCAGAGGACTCGAGGGTCCTGGTGGACTCAGAGTTTAAAACATTTTAATATTTTTATATTTGAGCCAAGGTTTCAATGGCTCTCTTGGTGTTAATGGCACTCTTTGAGCACTGGCTATYGAATTTGGGTGTAACACAGGAGCAGCAGAGTCAAAATTCAAGGCATAGTCACTGTTCAACAATCTGCAGGACAGGGCTCAGCAGTCAGCCCAACCAAACTCAGAGAATGCAAACCTTAACCATGTTCTGGTTGATTTTTATAAAAAGAAAGTGGCCTTTTAGAGCTTAAAACACAARGACTCCTTGTTTAAGCTGCCTCAAGAAGAGAAAGAAAGGAGAAATATGACTAATTAAACAAAAATGTGTTCAAGGCTATAAAAAATAAATATTCAAAATGATTGCTTGAACATTAGACACACAAAATAAGTTTCTTGCACTTACGAAAAAGGAGATATTTTATATATGCAGACCATACAGCAATAAAACAAGTTTAAAAGTGCCAYCATCAAAAAAGACATTGACAATAGAGAAAAAATGCTGCCATCAGGATGATTTTAAGCCTAAGGAATCTATCATCTTGTCCAACAAGACACCTCTACTACAAACCTTCCCCCATTTATACTGAGTCAGTGCTTTAATMCTTTTTCACCTGAAATGAGCCTGAGTTTGGCAAACGGAGCTGCAGCAGTGGAAAAAGTCATTGTGTTGAAAATACTGTCTTCCAGGGTCTGTTTTTAATCAGGTGGGAAATAAATAAAAGGAAGGARACACATCCACTTGGAACTTGCTGAGTGTCTGGATGGGAAGCATGGATGCACCTCACAKTGAAACTGGAGTTCCATCATTGTAAATACCGATCCATCACCACACACTCCACGTTTTCTTTTTTGACACTTTTATTAATCAAAGACAGGACAACTTCCATATTTTGAGTGTTAAGAGAGATCCCAGGACATTTTCATAGCTACAATAAGCTTAACCGAAAGGTACACTTGCAGAATACATCGCGGATTTGGAACAACACCCTTGTTGTGACTGGTGAACTGGTGCCACTGGTGTCACTGGTGTCACAAGCACAAGTGAGGGTCCTGGGGAAGAGGATATCCCATTGGCAATGGACACAACTCCAGCATGGATATGCCAGCAGCTCCAGGGGAGAAAAAGGAGGATTTGGCATCACACCTGACTGAGAGGGTCCCCAGGTACCRGAGATGGCCCAAGGTCTGTCTCCACCATGGAGCTGAGCAATGTAAATATCTCAGTATTTCAGCTTCAGACCTCTGATACCTACAAACTGAGCAGGTTTTATTCATGCTATATAAATACACACTTATATTGTGCCTTGGCATTTATGGAAATAAAGTTCTGCAAGATTTTAATACTCTTAGGTGGAAGCTTGAAGGGTTAAGTTTACACGTCACCGTTTGCAGCAAAACCCAAAAGCTAATTAGGTGGGGAAGTAAACTACATGTGCCATTTCAACTCCTTAGYATTTTATAATCAATTTTCAGTATACCAATAAATACTCAGTGCAAAGCACATGCTGACTTAAAATCCTAGGCATGGATAATGTATCAGGAAAATTAAGAGAGAAGCTATCAACTGTTGTCCACATGCTMACAGAAATATATATACTGAAGAAAAAGAAGGAAGTGTTTCTCACTTATAACAGTATTTTGGTTTTGGTTTAAGAAATGTAGGTGCTTTCTCCAAAAATAACAGCACTTGACAAGGTTATATCATTGGCTTATATAAAAAAAAAAAAAAAAGGTAGTGATGGGAACAAAGTGTTTACATGATTTGAAACTGCATATTTCCATATTCATCACAAAGACTGCAGCAAGGTACRCTTATGATCCAACACTTCTTGTGTTGAGGGCAAATCCACTGCTTGGTCTGTGACRAGGAGCATCCAAAGAAAAACACATCAAAACCCACAGAAATGCCAACCAAAATAATGGGAGTTTATGGGATGGTACAAAAATTATAGTTTCCAGCAGAAAAGCTGCAGTGTTCCTTCTCCTTCACATTACCCACTGGAGTTTGCCAAGGTTCTCCAGAAGATAACATGACTTCCAAGAACCTAACTTCCCCATGAAAATGGGGACAGATCAAAACACACAATAACTGCTAACAACACACATCTCCATCCCATGAACAGAGACAGCAATTCAACTTACAGAACCCTGGGAAACTACTYCAAATCACAAGGGAATGTTTCTGCCCATGGACAGAACTGAAAATGTGCAACATAGAGAGGAGTTAATGGTTTTATGTAATTTCAGCTTGAAAGGACAGCACACAGATCAGGATTATCACAGGAGCATCCATAACATGGCCATTACAGAGACAATACTGAAGGCTGCTTTGTTAACCCCAGTAATTGCACCCTTATTGCACAGGTCGTGTTGGCAGCAAAAGAATTCAAAATTATCCAGCTGGAAGAAGTCAGCAATTTGACGCACAGTGCACTGGGATGTCTTCCAGCAGGAGAAAGTTCTCAATGTACCTAGGGAACAAAAAAATTAAACATTAAGAAGAGTATTGACACTAACACCRTCTCTGGTAGGGAGAGAGAGGCACTCCTCAGACTGCCACAGTTGGAAGAATAAAACAGTGAGGAAAAGGCAAAGCTCAATCTGTGACAGGGCCTGTGGTACAAACACTGAAGTTTGATGGAGGCCTCGTGGTCTCTGTTGCCATGGCATCGGGGGGAAGTGGAGTGAGGCAGAAGTTGTTCAGTCTGGCTCTTTGACCTCACAGAAATGTGCTGCATAAACCTCCAAATAGAAGATATTCTGCACAAAGAGTGGAAGATCTGACCACAGTCCCACCCACAGCACTCTGTACAGTTGTGGTTAGTAAGGTAAAAAATGTACCCTCCAATTTTGTATCAAACTGGGAGATGATAATTAGACATGAAATTGCAGCGACAGATCACTGGGCTTGGCCTCTCACCCTSCCCAGAAGGGACACTTTTTGTGTCCTGTAGCTCATGGGCCATTTGTGCACCCAGCATYAGCCCTATAGTTTTGTTTCTGCCCCAGCCATKTACTTGCCTTTTTAATTTCATGTGTTTAGATATTTCCAAATTCTCTTTCTCTAGGAATTTAGCAGTGTGTATCCAATTCAGTTCAAATGATCACTGGGAGATACAGGATGGAGTTTGATACCTCACATCACCAGCCAGACATTCACAGCATCGTTTAGGCTGGAAAAGACCTCTAAAACCATCAAATCAAAYCTTTAACCCAGTGCTGCCAACCCCTCCACTAACCCATGTCCCCARGTGCCACATCCACRTGGCTTTTAAATCCCTGCAGGGATGGGRACTTCAGGACTGCCCTGAGGAGCCTGTGCCAGCACTTGACAACCCTTCAGTGAAGGATGTGCAGAAGACAGAGCCTAAAGAGCAGATAAGGGTGGTARACCACTGGCACAGGTTGTCCACAGGGRTGGTGGATGCCCCATTCCTGGAAACATTCAAGGCCAGGTTAAGTGGAGCTCTGAGAAACCTGATCTAGTCAAAGATGTCCCTCCTGAGACACAGATCGCTTCACCCTCAGGAAAAGAGAATTTATTTCAATAGTCAATTCATAAATCACTGAGCCTTCACTGACAGGTTTATTTTGTGGCTACACAACCTTTATTTGTTTTTAAAGAGTAACAAGTTGTATTTTAAAGACAATGCTGTCTTTATTTTTTACCAGCTCCTCTGGATGGGTTTTTGTTTGATTTTTAAATCTGGGCATACAGGTATCTATGCACATGCTTGTACAATTATAACCTACCTATCTAAATCATCACATTATTGCTTGGATATAAGCATRGCCTTCAAAAGTATTCACAACCTCCTTTTGAGCAGGGCTGAGAAATGCTAGGGCCCGATCAGAGGGGACCAGGTGATGAAAGCTGATCCAAGTGGGTTTATTTTAGGTCTGTGGGACACTGTACATACCAGTTCTTATCTGCAAGCAAGTGTCTTCACTCGTTAAGCAGGTGCTGTTGGTCCTGCACACCATRGGGCTGTTGTCACAGTGGTAACATCTTAAGGTATAACCTAAGACAACAAGAGTTTATCTTTACTGAATAATAATCTACTGAGGCAGTAGAAGTATTAAAAAGGAAAAAAAAAAAAAAGAAAAAGAGGAATCACTATCGGCATGTAATTGTCACAAAACATATGCCTGGTTATTAAGCTCAAGACTTCAGCTAAAATYGTTAAACTCAAGACTTCAGTTAAAATTGACAAGCTTATGTCAGTGTACCAATTGAGACTGCCAGCTTTGAAAGGCACATCTTGAAGCATGTACTTATGCCACTTTTAAAAACACTTACCATTATCTGCCTGCAGAACAAGTTATCAAATGTTTGCTCCTTTTATCTATTCTTGAAGACTGCCTTTTCCAGGCAATGACAGACACTTTCAGCCAAATTTTATTCTATCCTTTTTTTTAATTCCTTCTCCTTTCCCTCTCATACTACACACTGGTTTCCAATTCACATAAGGGGAATCCCATTTTCTAGCAGCAAAACACCAGTTTGTTGCTGTATTAAGCAGTACCACATCCAGTCCCTGATTGTCTCTCCTGACCCAAGACAATCAGAACAGAAAATAAGCCCTGCTTCAATGGTTACTGACATTCCCCAAAGGGGCATTAAATACTCCAGGTCTTTGCTGCTGTTTTTCCTCCCTCTGGCATTTTTTCCATGATTTTATCAGCCCCTGTCATAACATTAATCCACRAAGTCCCTCGCCTCTACTCACCAGAACCGCAAAAAGCAATCAGAACAATGCAGGCAGCCAGCAGGATGCAGTTCATCTTGGCCATGCTTCTTCCCTAATTGGAGGGCATAAAGAGATATTACAAGTTCATTCTATTTAAAAACAAAGTGCCCAGTGATGAACCSAGGTTTCAAGACTTGTTTCAGTATAGAGCTGAAAGCACTGGCCAGGAAAAACAGGGAAAGACAAGAGAGAAAAACAACTGCACTTTCCAAGCGAGGGTTTTTATTCTCAGAACAGAATTTTTATTCTCAGAACTGATATTTGAGCCTTGACATGCTGAGAAGGGTCTCCTCTCTCCTCTCTGATTACACCATTCAGCAGGCCTCCCAATTTCTTGCAGCTACAAATGCACCTAACAAAAAGAAAGGTCTCAAATGCTTTTTCTTTTTCAGCAATTCCACAGTAACCCTGGAGCCAGACTGTGCTCCTTTCTTYTCTCTCATGGAGTTGAAAGAGGTCTGGCTGCTCTACGGGACCTTTTGCCTCTCCTCTCCCAAAATTTCTCCCTCTCTCTGAGCCACTGACACAAGCAGTAAGTGGCTGCAGCAATGGCTCAGGTCTCCATGGCTGCTGCAATCCGTAGGCAGCGGTGAGTTGGGAAGGTCAGGAATTTTTTCTAACGTAGGCAGCTCCAAAGCAGGAGCTCTCAGACAGATTCCTGTACAAGGAGTCTGAACTACAATCACAGCTCCTACTAAAAAATCTCTCCTATTGCAGAGTAGGATATTCCAAGGAGGCATCAAGCAGATACAATGGGAAGAGAAGGACCATACTTGTGCCAGGAGGGCGTGATTTATGTTTGTCTTCAAAGCTTAAGAGGGATTGGAAGTCCCAAAACATTAAAGGTATTCAGATAACAAGTTTTATATCAGGTTAAACCGTAGTGAAACAGTCACTGCTCTTCATTCTGCCTGCAGCTATTTCTACATGCAGCTGTAAGAGTTCAGCATGGCAGACCTTAGCCATGTTATGATGGAGCTTTTTGCTCCCAGAACACTGTCCATGGACTAGAAAAGACATGTTCACAGCAAAAAAAGTATTTATATGCTTCTCAACCTTAAGTCCAATTCATTTTTCTACTCACAAAAAACCTCCAAACTTCATCCAACAAAAAAATCAAACATAAACAAAAGAATCTAAAAATCCCTCATCCAATGACAAAAAAAAACCCAACCTGCTCTCTTTTTTCTCCTCTCTGTATGACTTCCTGTTGAGTATACGGAAACTACAAAAACCAAAAACACAGTGTGGAAGATAAGCTGATTTTCTGAGGTAAACAATTTTGCAAGAAGCCTTTCAAGGCCAGAGGCTCATCTCACAGCGAGTGGATCTGCAGGAGTGCTGTCAAGTGYGGTGATAACAGTAAGATCCATTCTGGACAGCAAATAGAACCACCCYGGGAATCTCTCCATCTTCCAGGAATCCTCAGTCACCCATGTGTCAGCAGACGGAAACAGCTTTGTCTTTTAGCAAAACCAACTCATGACCAGCATGAATATAAGGCAGACGAATAAAAATCACCAGAGCCAGCAAAACAGTAGTAATTCAATGCATCTATTTTTGCGAAAATGAGTAACYGTTTCCATGTGAGACAACAGGAAATTCTGACCKCTGAACAGAAAATTAATACACATAAACAACAATTCACAGCATGGCTTAAAAGAAACAAAAGTAGGAAACATCTCCTAAACTGAATTTTCTAAATTAGTTTTTTTTTTAAGTCAAGCATCTGACCCATCTCAATGACAGGAAACAGCAAGTGCAACAGCACGKAAGGCTCAGTGCCCGGTGGTGAAACAGAATTTCTCCGCAGTCCCACCTGGGAGAAGGCAAGCGGACAGGACCTGCTGCTGTTGTCACTGTAAAAGACAGCACGGGGGAGAAGGGGAAAGGGCAGGGGGAAGGGGAGCAGGAGCCGAATCCCCGCGGGGAGCWGGAGCCCCTCTCCCGTGCCCGGACAGGAGCGGCAGTTGCCTCCTGGCCGCGTTCCACCGCCGCTCCGGCCCTGGGCCCAGCGCACTGCGGTGCGGCCGCCGTGACTCAGGGCACGGGCACGGGCACAACGCCCCAGCCCCGGGCCAAACACATCGCGGCACCCAGAACCCGCCCCGCTGCTCGCAGCTGCCGGGAAAAGCCGCCCTTCTCAGCACTTTCTCCTCCCTGCTCTCCCCCACGGCGCGACCTGCGCGCTCCCCCCGCAGCCACCGCTTCGCTTCGCCGGGCTCCCCGCGCTGCCCTGAGCTCGGCCCGCTCACCGCTCCCGGACAAATCGCGCCATTCGCAGAATGCAGAGCTGTCCAGCCGCTTTTCCGAGCGCTGCTTCGACCAGGGCTGCCCCTCCCGGCGGTGCCGCCCCCGAGGCGGGGCGGGGCGGGGCGGTGGCCGGCAGCCGCTGACGGGAGCGGAGGCGGGGCTCCCTCAGGACGGGCGGCCGGAGCTCCCTGCGCGCTCCTGCGCGCTCCCGGCGCACACAGCCCGCGGAGCCTTTCAGGGATGGGTCTGCTTTCCTCTCTCCTGCGGGATCCGGCCGTGCCTGCCATCCATCGCCGCTTGTGGATACATCCTGCGATGGCTGCGGTTGAGAGGCAACTTCAAGACCGTGCCCTGTCGCAGGTTACTCCAAGCTCCAACTGACCTGGCCTTCAACATGCCAGGAAAATTAACCCACGACGCTAGAGGGTTTATGTCCAAAAAGGAGACGGAGGAGTTGATGCCTGAACTGCTACCTAAAACAGAGGCTGGACAAAATTAAGGCAATAAAAGCAGTTCTATTTATTGCAGGGCCTTMAGGTCCATTCAGGGCAGTCACCCAGGGGCTGCATCCACWATGGACAATGGCTCACGGGTTTTTCACGCTTTATCAGTTYTRTCCATTTGCACATCGGGGCTGAATCCKCCAATTGCAGCTGCAGCCACTGAWGTCATTGACTCCAAGTTTGCCACCCCCAATTCTCTGTTGTTTCCATCTCTTGTGGCCTGGCMCAGTGAGGTGTCCTTGAGTTACRGGCCTAAGGAGGAATTGTTTTGTCTAAAATCAGAGAACAGTAGTTCAGCACTTGAGTCTAGAGTTATACGCTAAAGAAYTACAGGATTACAGATACATGAAAAAGATAGAAGCTAAAATCCTAAGGTATCAGAGTCCCATAACTTTATTCGAATAAAGGGAGAAGCCATGAGCATTCCCCTTTGGGTTGGGTGACACAGTCCCTGTTTTATCCCARATTCCCAGCTCCATCTCCCTCTTCCTTTAACCCTCTGGCTGAGGTACTCAGAAGGTACAGACTTCCCAATGCCCCCTCTAATATGCACCCCCCCCCCCTTTTGTTATATAAAAGAAAGAAAAAAAAAAACTATTCTGTTAAGTCTTTGTTATTTTTATCTAGGTTCAGGATTGAACACGGCCTTGGCTGAGCAGCACTCCATGTTGATCAGTAACATTTTCTAGAACTGAGAGTTTCTTCACTATCTGTAAGTTCCTAGCCCTGCCTACAAGTAGATTCACATGGTCTGTTTGTAAAGACACATTCATCTTATTCYTTTAAATACTACAGGGATGGGGCAGCCACAGCTTCTCTGGGAAACCCATGCCAGGGCCTCACCCTGCTCTGATAAATAATTTCTTCTCAACATCCCATCTAAACCCACCCTCTCTCACTTAAGATCTATCCCCCTTTGCCTGTTACTCCAGGTCCTTTTSCAAGGTCCCTCTTGAGCTCTTTTGGAGGCCGTTTAGGTACTGGAGGGCACCCCAAGGTCTCCCAGAGAGAGATAACCTTGGMATTTAGACCATGAGGTAAGGAAAACAGTGAAGAGTTTCAGAACACACAAAGGAACAACCAGGAATGGAAAGTGGCARTTTTCCTCCAGAGGTACCTGGATATAGATCTAACCATTAACAAACTAAAAACATATTGAAGAGCAACAGAAATGTACTTGAAAACACCAGAAGTATTTTAGTAATACTTAAATTCATGCTATCTAGAAAAAAAAAAAAGTTCCATGCTCACTTGAGGACAATATGAAATATGTTGAAAGCTACCAGTTTTATTTTAAAAGGATTCTTGGATTTATTTTTGTTTGGCCAAATAATAATTGGCCAAAACTGCCAATTTATTTACTAAACCTAAAGCAAGCCCTAAATCACTTAGAACTTACATCAGAGTCTCTTGGTGTGTTGATTAGCAGTCAGCTCAGCATACAATCTTATGTTTAAAAGATTTTACCTCTGTTTAAGCCACAAATAAAAGCAAAGGGATCTAAGAGTAAGATGCTTAATAAATGAGAATCCCCTCAATTAATATAATAGAAAAAAACCCTATTAACTCACCTAGATGAGGAACTGGGAACAAGGGACCTCAGCCACWGCTGAACACTTACCTATTTTCCTTTCTCAAAATCTGGCAACAGTCCCTCCAAAAGAACACACATTTATCTGTACCAATARATGGTATTTCAAACTTGACCTGAATTTTCCACCTTAAAATCTTTGCAATTTTGCAAGGTTAAACAACGACAAGAAAAAACAAAAGCAGCACCAGAATACTGGAATAACTTGCAAGCAACTTTCAGTTGTGTTTTTTTATTTGACTGGCTGGCACACCAGTTGTTTTTCTTAATGTGATGCAGTCACAGCAAAGAAATYGTGGCCAAAGGTCCTCTCCATGAAACTATTCAGCCAACAAAATCCCACAAAAATGCTGAAGGAATCCTACAGAGCAATTCTAAAGAGACTGTCAGTGTCTAAAGAGACCAGGCCAGTTACATGTTTGTGTTGGACATGCCAGGGTTTCACCACGGCTGAATCCACGGTGTTCAACAAGGCTGGTTTTACCCAACCGGGTAAAAAGCCCTAACCAAGCATCAGAGATCAAGATCTAAGTCAGGAGAAGGTGGCAGAACTTCAGGCTGAGCCTGCAGGACATTGGCTGGAGGGAAAGACATTCCTGTGATCCCAGTGACCATGGGGAATGCTTGGCAGCTGGRTGCACKGGARTGACACCTGCCCACACCTGTGCCCRGATAGAGGAGTGAGGTGCTGCCTGTAGCTTCAGGATCTCAATTCACTTCTCTTCTGCTGCTCTGTGAACATTCCMACAGGCCAGCAGTGCTGCAAAACATCACCAACTCCTTTTTGATTTCACAGATTCCATGATTCTATGATTCACACCTCTGGCATAACCTTTTGTTTGGGAGGGGTGAGGAGAGCCACTGGCTTCAGCGCCACTTCAAATGCACATCATGGGGAGCTGCAGTGCTTCTGGCAGCTACAGGCAACAACCTGTGCTAAAACTGCTGCCTGAAGCAAAGAAATACCCCTTGCCCTGTTACAAACACAGCTGTGCTCAGAGCAGGAACAGCAAGCCCAGTTTCCTGCCTGGTTCCCTCCACTCCAGAGCCTCCTGCCACCAGCTGTGCTGAGCTGAGGCCTCAAACAGCACCACAATGCACAGGGCTGAAAGAACAGCACTGTCCTGGATCTCAGCATCCACCACAGAAAGCTCATCTTTCACCACCCAAGGCAGAACCACTCCCTACAAAATGAGTGAAACTGCCAAGAGTTGGCAGTGTTTGTAGAGAGTCCCATGCCCTTCAGCTGATTCCACTGCACTGGAACATAGAGATCCTGGGAGGAATTCTCCCATGAAAGGCCTCCAACCATGATAGTTATCTTTCCTCAAAAACACACAGCAGAACAAGAGCCCTGGAATAACTTCTAGCTCCACTAAGACCTTCTTTTATTGATCCTTAACAAAACTTCTGTGGAAATTTCTCACCCCTCACAGATAATTCTGTGTTAATCCTCAAAATGGTAACATTTTGGAAGCACTCCAGCAATTCTCAGAGCTGTTCTGGCTCCTGTGAGAGACAACACAAGCTGGTTTTGTTTCTGTAGATGTTTCACCTATCGACTGTTGTAGGGATCAGACTCAATATTTGTTTTTCTACTTTGTGCCACTAGGGAAAATGCACCAGAGAAAGCTGGGCACATGGAGAATCCAATACCTGGACTTGCAAAATAAGTAAGAGAAAGCTGCAGTTTGTCAGTAATGGAAAATTTGAGCTGGAACCACAACATACTGATCTACCTCATAAAATCTACAAATTCTGGCTGCCAAAAAAAGGACTCACCAATGCTAGTCACAAAATTATTAGTCAAGTCTTGGCAAAAACATTCCCATGTAGCACTTCAGAACAAAGGAGGCAGTTGTTTATTAATGACAAGAGAAACAAAATTAAAATGATAAAGCAAACAGATATTCTTTAAATATTATTTTTCTAGTCATCTGCTGTTCTGCTAGCCTCTTTTTTTTTTCCTTTTATTTTTATGCAGTTACAAAAATCCATCGAGGGCTCAGGGAAACATGATACGTAACATAAATTTGTCACCTATGACAACAGCAAACAACATATAAAGAAAGAAACCTCAAAACATATTTACAAATCCAAACTGTAGTGATTGAGAAATTCCTTAGTTAACAAGTGGCAGATTATGCATGGACACTACATTCCCAGAGGCATTATCCGATCAGAATCACTTACCATAAAATCAACCCTCAAAACAGATTGTCTAAAAATAAGGCCAGTTTCATTCCCAATTTATGTGTTTGATGACCAGAATTTTTTGCTGTTTCTATGTTAATTAAAAAAAAAAAAAGCGTAAGAGCACCTAATCTCATCCAAATGGTATATTCAGACCAAACTGCAAGTTTCATTCTTAGCAGGAGTTATCCAGAGCACAAACTCATGAGAAAGGACAACAGGATACACCCTTTTTTGCCATCTCATCTATACTAATTTTAAATGCTTGTGTAAAACCAAATCCCCACACCATATCTGCAGTATGATCATAAATAGGCAATAGTTTAAAAATGTAAGGTATCATTATCTTGGACTATCAAGCTGTTTCACACTTCAGGAAAAAAGTGAACAAAGCCCAAACACCTTTCTCTTCCTCTCCCTCCTCATTCTCCCTCCTTTTTCTCCACTTCTGAACCAGGGAAATGAAAGTTGTACTCTAATGAATATTAGAACTGGCACCAACATTCATGCTAGTTGCCCTGATGTGCAACAGAGTTCATTTAAAATAGTCAGAAATATTCTTATGCACTAGCCCCAAAGAGTTCAGCTTCTGCAAACRGTTTGTTTGGAAAAAATCCCATTGCTGTCACGTGGGCAGCATCCAGAGGGTGCAGGAATGTCCAACACTCTGTCGATCTTGAGAGTCATCAGTGCCTGTGGAATCTTGGTCCTCATCCACTGCAGATTCATTAGGATGTTGCCTAATTCAAAACACACACAGTTTAATTAAAATCTTCCCTTCCAGTTAGTTTTAAGAAAGCATTAACATCTGCCTAGAAAAATCTGGGCTGTATGGTCAYGCCTATTAGCTGAAGCAGACATTGTGATCCATGTCCGAAACCCAAGTTTAATTTGCAATAGAGGTAATTTTGCCAAAMTGTTTGACTTTTCACTCCCTAAGGATCCATTAGGTATCACTATTTCATACCTACAATTATGTCAAGCCACAGTTCAGTACCTMAGCTGTACCWGTYTTCTTGGTGGCTTACGTTGTGTTTTACTGAAGTAACTTATAAACAAAAGGGTCATTACCACCTTTAAAGCAGGGGTAGAGCAAGAGAGAAAAGCCAATTATTTTTCCAGTTGGCTGAAGGGAAGTAAGATAGAAAGGAAGGCAGTTCCAGCTCCCAAAAATGTGAGCAAGGGTTAAGAGATGTCATTTTCTGTTAGAAGCACGACATCTGCTGGCACCTACTGTTAGAACCACGGGGATTGAATGTCTGAAATCCTGTGATAAATCAGAGATAGAGTACAAGCAGATGCCTACTCCTGAGGAAAGCCCAATACTCCTCAGTGCTTGCACAAAAAACTAAGGATAAAATAAACCAAGAACTGCTCTGTAGAGAAGTGTGCCAAAGAAATGGGAGAAATTATATAATTAATCCAGTCTCCAAACTAAAACTACATTATAATTAATGGCAAATGAAGTACCTTGGTGATTTGCGAAGTCATTAAGTGACTTTATGAAATGCACTTTCAGCAAGAACTAATGAACAACACAGACTTTACAATTTTTAAACTGTCATTAACTGGAGCATGTCTGAATAAAGCAGATCCATTATTATGGCTACAATGAATGAGTGTGGTTCCAAYCCAGGAGGGAACTCTGAAATCCACGCAGCTCATGCAATGCCAAGTCTGCAGGCACAAACGATGGGCTCTGAATTATGGGGCATTTTTTATCATGGAATTAGCAATATGAACACTATTCAACACTGTCAATTTTTGTCATTTTTATTATTTTTGTGTTTGTTTTAGCCAACTGCATCTCTGCTTACCATTCATGCTGTAGACACCTTGAATGTTGGACACACCATATGAAACCTAGGGATTGTGACGTTAAAGAATCTGTCCTTGTAGTAGAGGCARTGGAAGGTGTAGTACCCCTCCATGTATCCAGAGGTTGTGGAAAAYGTGGTACAGCTGGTGTATTCATAGACTCTCCCTGGGCTGATAATTGGGAACTCCCCTGTGGGAAAAGTATTAGATCACAAGGGTAAGGACTGATGTAGAACTACAGCTTAGCAATTGTTAGAGCACTTGCACTTCACAAAAGATTCAGGCAGATCAATTTGTATTTTAGTGGATGCATAAATTGATTCTCAGCAATTGATATTATAGAAAAGTGGAGAGGGGTTAAGTAGAAGGMTGTTCAGATGCCTCTTATGAAACAACTTTTAAGCCAAAATAGATGGACATGGATCTTTTTCTCTGAAGCAATGAAATTATTTTAATACAAACATGCAACTTGACAAACAAGTAATAACAGAATTTTAAAAACAAGTACATTAAATACTCTCTCCAGTAATTTTTTACTTACCAACTACTCCAGGACCTTGGACTTCTTCCACATCACCTTTGGCATTTGTTATTCTCCAGTATCGACTGTCCAGCTGACAGGCCTTCTCAGGAAGAGCATCTTTGGACATTTCAATTCTAGAAGCCAAACAACATACTTAATACATTTGTATTATTTCAAGAAATGTTTTAGTGCCCTTGAGATCACCAASTAGACTGGAAAAAGAAAACACCACTAAGGTAACCTGAATCAGTTGGCAGTATCCATCTCCAATGCTTCACTGTCTGTTACTTACCCTTTCCTAAATCACCAGAGCTACTTWTAACTTCTCTCCCCCACCCCGCACTGCATTTTAACAATTACCAACTTGACTGGTACTTTGTGCACCTGACCAGGTAAAGATTTAGGATTTATTTTGTTAAAAAGTACAGCATATAGTGCACAGCCTGTTCATTTCAGAACATTTCTGAATGCTGTGCATGAATTTGCTTTGAACATTCCATAGGTCTATCCTGCATTCTAAGAATTAATTCATTTATTTTTACCTGATTCTGTAAGTGAAGAAATAATGTGGTGGATGTACAGAACTGAGTTCAGGTAGAAAAGAGGTGGACACCGACACAGTAATATCTCCTGTGGTAGCAACACAGTCTTTATCATGCACATACCTACAAAGAGGAAAGCATTAACTCTGCAAGCAGTTCTGCACATTCAGTACAGAAAATGAAACACCTAAAGTCRTTAGTTATTGATAATATTAATAAACACACTTGTTTAAATAAGAATGTCTCATTATGCTATTTAGAAGAAAAACTACCTAGATGCCCCAGCAGCAAATTTATTCACAGTTTAAGAATTAGGTTCTACAGCATCCCAGTTTGACAGAATTAAGGTTCTTGATTGTGTTTGGAAGAAATTGCAAGTGCATGACGGTTCGAACACCAGAACATGCTCATTTACATACTCAAGAGACCAATTAGCTAAAACATTTGGGTTTTTAACTCTGAACAGTCCTGCAGCAAAAATACACCTCATGGCACACAGAATAAATATCATGTTGTTTGCTGAACTTCAGATCACTTATAATGCAAAATTCTGATCCCATTAATGCAAAGTTACAAGCTTTGAAGCTTCTGGTAAAAATAATGAAGTTGCTTTAAGAAGTCTGGTTTACATGTTTATTTTCTGTAGTTTCATGGGCTTTCTCCTGTCCCTACCATCAGCTTTTGTATGAGATACCCAAAACTACTTGGAAAGAGGTGAGCATGCTTAGAAGCAGCACCAAAACTTGGCACTGAGGTTACAAATCCCAGTCACAATACCTGAAAATCTGGTCTCTGATGATAGGATAACCTCCAGTTACAACTTTGTTGACATAGGATGTAAACCATTCAAAGTAAGATGTACCTAGATGCCAAGGAAGAAAAGTATTTCTAAGGATAGGCAAATTTACCACTATGCACATTACAGTAAATACTTCAAGGAAAACATTTAAAGCTTTGATTATTTTTTTAACAAATGCTCAGGCTTACTGAGATGAGTCAGTCAATATTCCAGTTCATTCTATCTGGGTAACAAGGAAAATTTGGAGAAACCAATCAAGAACTGAAGAGTTAAGAGTACATCCTCCAGAAATGACACAAGCCAACCAAGAATCATTACATTATAACCAGGGTTTTCAATGGTGTGTCTCATCACTTGGATTCCATATGGAAAGCTTCTAAGGAACACTGCAGAATTTCCTCTCCTTAAAAAGAGGAATAAATSATAGGCATACACTGCACTCCTCTATAACCTCAAAGGACTAAGGCTGTATGTCATTCTGGGATTTTTATACACTTGAAGCCATTGTCTGAGAACAGCTTTTCAAACACCCACAGCCATTATTTTGGAACAGCTTGATTGCTAAGCAGACACTCAAGCTGTCACATTTAATTCTCAAAGAAGAGAGTTTCACATACCAGATCTCTGCACATAAAATTTCTCAGCCATAAATCTTCCAAGCATTGTAATACAGAGTTCAATAGAAAAGTAGAGAGTTCAACTATTTATCAATATTAGTGATTCAAAACRGGATTGAAGCTGAACTACCAAGAAATTATTATCCTTGCCTTCATGATGTGTTATCARGTACTCCCACTCCTGTTAGATTAAATGTACTTACCACTTCCTCTTCAAGACGAGCTGTGTGTGCTGTCCTTTGATCTTTTGGAATTCTAAGGAACTCCAAGTTGATTATGCTCCTTYCTACCACTAATCCACAAAATGCAAACCTTGTATAAAGTAMCTCTGAATKGAGGAAGTGGTCTATTTACCTGCCACTTCAAAATGCCAAGAGAAAKGCTGTGTATGGAACTTCCCCTCTACCCCATGCTAAACCAAGATTAACCCTCCCAGCCAAGAGGAATACTTGTAAATATGGATCATCCATACTGACCATTTTATTTTGAACACTTGTTTTGAATATTTTATCAGACGTGTTACCTGTAATGAACATAACAATAGCAGATGGATTACGAGCCATTTGGTCCTGAAAGGGGAAGAAGTTTAAGGATGTGTTAGAAGGAAAACACTGGACTTTCAAGGGTAAAATTCAAAAAACACAGGGAACACTTTCACTAAAYCTAAAGCCTGGCTGCTTGACAGATCACTGTAGTCCCAGTCAAATCCTCAAAAATGTAAAACTCACATGCCTGTCCCCATGAGTGCTCCCATGATGACTGAATTTAGTTTCGACTTTCCACTTAAGCTCATACACAGAAAATTAGATTTAATGCCTCGCTGAAGAAACTAAGCCCCTAGAAACACTGCCTTGGAACAGAAGCCCCAAACAGCTGAGGCTGGGAGGAACCTCTGGAGATGATGAGTCTGATCCCTCAGCTTGAGGCAAGGTTAGCTTGAGTACTTTGATTCATTATCAAGCAATCCCAGAAACCTCAYTGCTGTGTGCTCTGGAAGCAAACTGCCAGGAATTTGACAGCAAGATGAAGATCCCCATCTTTTTTAACAAGGAACATCCTTTACACATCCCACTTTCTTTTGGGGAGGACAGGTGGTGGAAGGGAAGCCACCAAGTCTTTTCTCCACATGGCAAGTACCAAACTAACCTGATCTCTACTTTATGCTACATAAAATACTTCAGATATTAGATAACAAAGGGCATTAKCAATCATTAGGAAAGTACACAGATAAATACAAACACATCTTCCTTACTGGACACTGATAGAAGATCTCGTATTTATTCCGTCCCTCCACACTCTCCAGGGCCATGTACTGACTGAGGCCAGTGTGGATGCAGAAGGTCAGGGGCAGGCACTGCTTGAGCCCTGGCCTCTGCTGGAAGCCTCCGGCCGCCGTGTCGATGTCCAGCAGGTCTTCGGAGCGGTAGTGGTTCGACAGGGCCATGCTTCCCATCAGACTTGGAAAAACAAAAACAGAGAGCATAAACAGGAGATGCAACACACAAGGCAAAGCAGGTTTTTAATCTTTTGGAAACTGCTTCTTTCAATGCTCTAGATGCTTATTAGATTTAGGTGAAATGCACATCAAATATCCCCATGCTGAACTTGGTTATTAGTTCACTTCATCCTAGCTTTGTGTAAGCATCACACTCAGCAGGAAGAGGAGCACACAAACCTGAGTGCACACTCCACACCCACACTCCCAGYTGGGAACACCTGGGAAAGGCAAATGAGATGTCAATTCCTGCAGATGCTGAGTTTCCACTGGMGTTATGAAAGCAGTGAATCGGGTGCAAGCTGCCACATGTCAGTGTGCTAAAAGCTGATCCCACCCTGAGCAACAGGTTCCATTCCTCTTTCTCCCTGGGAGAAAGTCCTGCCTGGAATTAGCACATTCTACAGCAGCAGCGGCAACACCCCGACACAGAAACTGAAGCATCCAACAAGGACAAGTCCCACAGCATTTCCATTTCTAACAAATAACAACTAGCAACCTAACAACTTRCTATGCAAACTTCCACTGTCTACACCCAATTCTCCCAGTATTCATCCCCAGCAGGCAAGCCTGCCCCCACTAGCGGGACCACACCTTCCCTTGGCAGCCTTTCTCCAAGCTGGAACACTTCCCCAAAACCTTGTGTTTGCTCCTGCAGCCCTTCCATAGGCACATCATTACAGCAGAGGCTTTGTAGGAGTGAAAAAATAGTAGGAAGAGAGGAAGCACACAACCTGCAGAGCACCATTTGAAATCTACAGAGCTAGGGCACCTTTCTCCTCTCTAAAAATTTTTAAAGTCTCTCCTGGAAAACAGAACTAGAAATCATCCTTATGGTTTCATAAAACAGTTTCCCATATCCCTGCTGCACATAAAACACTAAAATTGGAGAAAGCTGCACCTTCTTTACGAGCTAAAGTTTTGGCAGAGCAATATGAGTGCATTCCTCCCTATGGACATTGCAAAGATTTGCTGTAGTTTTCCATCTTTTGCTAATGTTTGCAGCATTTCATCAGGTGCTTCAAACACCTAACTTTTGTACAGCTGAAAGACAAGAAACTGTTTGGTCATCTGCCCTCTAAACTTAATGTAAAAGGGAGTTTTTCASTGCTGAAACTGCATAAAATTGTAAAATCTTCTACTGAGAAAATTAAATTCGTAGAACTGACAATTTGATTCTACTGAATATGACTAACTGGTTTTAAGCTATTCCCTAGCCATTTAAAGAAAAAAGAATTACTAAAGGATGAAGTATGAAGAGTGCAAGGAGCTAATTTACTTCCGTTATACAAAGCCAAACTTCAGGGAAGCAACTTGCAGTGCTATGATTAAAAGAGCAACAGCTGGAAGTTTGAGTTGTTGCAAAAACCTGACRAGGGTTCTCACTAGGAAAAAGGGAAGTGTAAGAGTAATTTGAGCAATTAGAAATCCACACTGGGCTTCCAATTACTTCCAAGATTAGAAGACAGCCAGTTCTGGAAGCGTCACTTAAGGGGTGACTCAGTCACAATACATGTAAATGCCTCACTTATCCTGTTCAAGGGATATTTCACCTTCTAATAAGCAAAATGTCCAAGACATACAAATAATTGGTAAGTAGCTTTCAGTCCTTACCCAGGAACAACCAACTTCTGCCCGTTATGGATACGGAATGAACACCGATAATCATCAGGGAGTTTGCAGTGGATTTGTGCTTCCACAGCATCCAGATCTTCCTCCTTCACACTCTCTGGAAAAGAAAGGCTATTTCAAGTATTTCAGACACAAAACATGGAATGTGTAAAAGCCCCCATCAAACTAACAGGGACTCAAGTCAGTATTTGCTGGCTTTATGCTGGTGGCACAGAACGAAAATCATATAAATTTGAAAGGAAAATTATGACATTGATTATTTAATAGCGCATCAATCTCAGTACAGTGAAACTTCAACAAGCTTGAAAGCAGCAAGATTTTATGAAGTGGAATGAACCTTTTCCCCACTGAGTCCCAGTTACAGTCAATAACTGAGTCCCAGTTACAGCTTTCAAGCAGTATTGATTCTACTCTTTTCATCACCCTAAGGGTTGCTTCTTGCAGTTTCCAGTTCAATCAGTAACACAGAAAGGTTGGCTGCAGCCCCCACTCACTTGGAATCTGAAGCAATAAATGGGTTGTAAAAGAGGGATTTTCAAATTAACAACAGAAAGGGATGGAGAGGAATGATTCTTACACCTCCACATGCACTTCAAGGGGGCTCTGACACCCTCACTTCCAGCAAACATCAGCTAGGCGCCCTCTGTGGTCTATTCCAATCAACATTTTTAAACCCTTTTCATACTTGTTACCGGTTTCATTTATGGGACACAATGTAATAATTCATCGAAACATTCCTTACAAATGGTATTAAAAAGGCCTAAGTTTTATCTAAAACTTGCCATCACTTTRTAAGTATGGAGATTGATAATTTTAAAATTATTTTYGTCTTTCTGTAAATAGAGCCTTCACATTCCATCTTCAAAAATACTCAGCAAAACTTAAAAGATCCAGCACTATCCAGCAAGCCAAGAAAATGCAARAGTTAAATAGGAAAAAGATCATCTGTCTGTAAATATGATCGCTTAAGAGATCATTGGTCTCTTAATTTCACAGATCARGTTAAATTAGACATCATGATCTAAAAATCAACTTCATACAGAAAACTGAAATGCAGTTGAAAATGTCAAAGCTTTTTTGTCCCTATACCAGAAAAGCACAAATTCACTGTAGCTCTGACTTATGATCTAGAACACTGGAAGTACTTCAAGTATTAAAATACAACTGAAATTAAAAATAGAATCTTAGAAGGGGAAAAAATGAAGAACTATTGTCAACCACTGGAACACAGTAAAGTCTACAGATTAAAATGTCTGCTTTCATGTGATGGTGTTTTAATTATGTCTTAAGAAGACCTCACAAAATCACACCAGCAGGTCCTTATGTAGTAACTCCCAGTAATGGGAGTTACAACATTAAAAAATAACAAATAAACAAAYAAAAAATAGTCATAGCAAACAAAGATAAAAACAGCAAAAGTGTGACCAAGAAGAAAGACTGGTCACTAGAAAAAAAAACTAATCTTGATTTCAGGGAATCTGTGGATCACTAGGAACTGGTAAAGGACTTTGCCTGTGTTTCCATGGAAGGAGGAGCACATCTACCTGATTTTCAGGACTMTGTTAATTAGGGCATACACCTCTCATAAAAGCAGCGTGAAGCTTAATAACAGGCAGGGCTGGGTGAGCCAACCCACTCCCAGCTGTGTCAGAGTACCTTTCAAAGAGCCGATCATGCGGGGACACCACTGGCCCAAGTATTTCTCCAGGTCATCCCAGGCTTTTTTCAGCGTGGCATAGTATTGGATGTATCTTCCTAAATCAGCGTAGGTGCTGATGAAGATGGCTTTCCAACCCYGATTCTGTCGGCTTTTCTCCTCTCTRAGGGGACATGAAGAAAATGTGTTCAAATGCCAGCTTAAAGAGTCTTCTAAACCCAGAGTTGGTATTTGTTATTTGGCAGGAACAGGATGCATAACATTAACCCAGGAACACTYTGTGCCATGTGAAACTACACAAACTCAATTAATTCCAGCATCTATTCAACAGCAAGTTGGAACAGAATTAGGAAACATTTGGGGTACTTAGAGGAAAATTTAGAAACGATACTCCTTTACACAGAGTGCCTTCTGAACTGAGCTGTCTAGCAGTGAATCTTAGAGCTGGTGAAAAGCTAATTCACATCCTTCATTATTCAGCTTTTCTTAGCTATGGAGGTGCTGACTAAGTAAGAGYTGRATAAGTAGACAGTGAGATGGAYTGAAAATCGGCCRAACAACATGTCWTAGAAATTAATTTTCACAGAAAAAAAAAGACTTAAAACAATYCCACTTACTCCGAAATGAGCCAGTATTTTTTGCAGTGTCTTTTCCACAGTGGATCATGACTTGACAGCTGATTTAATCTTCGATTCAAATAGCAGCAACTATAAATATAAAATCATTACATTTGATTGCAGAAGGCTAGCAAAACTAACAGAGAGAAATGCTGTATCACACATCACAGTCTCACGAAATAAATACAGAGTTTGAAAGTGAGTTGGTTGTCCTTTCAGAGTTGTGCTCACAATGGTTAAAACTCTTCSATACAGCTGTGTAAGTCATGAGCTACTTTGCCACGCACTTGAAGAGCAATTAAGTACTTTTGTAAAACAGGTCATCCTATACACCTAACCCAGAGTAAACACTGCCTGAAAGATTCCAGCAAGATTCCACTCCGGTGGAAAGAATTCCAGTAGCACAGGCTAGCTATGATTTAAATCCCTTTCTTATCTGGATGTTCAGCATCTACCATATCTTTTCCACAGTAAGCTACAGAAACTATATAGTTGGAGCTTTATAAACTTACTTTCCTCTTTAAATTGTTTACATAAGAAATTTTGAAAAAACTCCTCAGAAGATACCATCAGTTTTGATGTGGCAACATCACTTCCTCTGGTAGCTTGCTCTAAAGTGAAGAGTGTTTCAAAGGCTGTGATTAACATCTAAACACCCCAAATGAGGGTACCAAACAAGGTTCCAGCTGCTGGTTTTGGGGGTTTTATAAACTGTTTAAACTAGAATTGGATTAGTAKCTCAACTCAACCTCAACAAAGCAATTCTCCAGTATGCCCTGACATTACCCTTTGCATCCACGATCCATGCCCTCACAAACTCATTCACTTCACACCTGGACATTTGGCTGTACAAAAACTTCATCCATCACATGGGGATTTATTGTATTTTTGGGGGGTGGGGAACTGAAATACCCCAAATTCAAAAAGTCCTTGCAGAAATCCGTGTACTGGTGTTTATCAATCAAGCCCTGTCATTTCTGGAAGGGAGTAAGGCACCACAGCATTACAGGAATATGTGGCTTCAAACGTGATAAAAGTGCAATTAAAGCCATCCTCACTAATTACACAAACAATGGAAAAGCTGGCACTTGACCAAATATCTAAGAGCCACCATAGCAACTGTTACAGTTTTTGCTTACGCTTAATCTCTTTTTTTGCTGATATCCTAACAGAATTCTCGCCAATATCCTTATCATTCTTGATTAATATTTATTAGGGGAAACAAAAACAACCCGAACCTAGATCCCCACATTTCTGGCAGCACTCTGTTTTCTTCTTATACTTATTACCCCCCTCTTTGATTAAACACTGTGATTCAATCGTAGCCAAACCTTGCACYTGACTGGTGAGGTTTTACCCAAAACCGCTCTTTCATCTTCACTGTATGACTCGCACATTTTCAGCCACCGAGCCCAAGAGGCACCTGCAACTTTCAKTCACGTTTTTCTCCTTGAAAATACATCCTATTTAATTTTGTTTGGTTTTCTTCAAACGATAGAACACATTTGCTAGCAACAAGACCACCCTCTGTGTGCCCCTAGAAACACAAGTTTCAGGGAAATACCGATTTCACGAATTTAGTTACTGCTCCATTTCGTTACAAACAAAGCCAACATGTAATGGGGGAGAGAAAAGCAGATTAATTAAATTGTTTGGGTTGGAAGGGACYTTAAAGATCAACCTGTTCTCCTGCCATGGGCAGGGACACCTTCCACCATCCCAGSTTGCTCCAAGCCCCGTCCAACCCGGCCTTGAACACTTCCAGGGATACAGCGGCAGCTTCGCTGGGAAACCAGAGCCAGGGCCTCACCAACCTCTCGGTAAAAGACATTTCGTTTAAAAAACGAAGAAAAAAAACGGGGGTAAGCCTGCTGCTGCTGGAAGGGAAGGGCGCTCAGGCCGTGTCCTCCGCACAGCGGCTCCTCCGGAGGCAGCCAAACCCTTCCCCCGCACAGCCCGAGCAGCGCTCCGCCCGCTGCGCCCGTGCCATCCCCCCGGGCCGCCCGTACCTCACCAGATCCCGGTAGTCGAGGAAGCTGAGGATGAGCAGCAGCGGGTCGGTGGGGAGCAGTTCCAGGCTGAGGGCTGCAGGCTGGTCCGTGTCCGGGGGCGCCGCCATCTTGCTGAGCCGTCCCCAGGCCGCGCCTCCCCCGCGCCGCCCGCCAGCGCCTCCTGAGGGCGGAGACAGCGCGGCACCCGCCGAGCTCCGGAATCACCGAGTCCAGCCCTCAGTGCTCGAAAATCAAACCTTAGAGCTCCCGAATCGGCCCCCGCTGCTGGAAACTCAAACCTTACAACTCCCGAATCAGCCCTCACTGCTCGAAACTCCAACCTTACAACTCCCGAATCAGCCCCCAATGCTCGGAACTCAAACCTTACAACTCCCGAATCAGCCCCTAGAACTCGAAACTCAAACCTTACAACTCCCGAATCAGCCCCTAGAACTCGAAACTCCAACCTTAGAACTCCCGAATCAGCACCCGCTGCTGGATACTCAAACCTTACAACTCCCGAATCAGCCC